TGCATTGACAAACGTAACTAAAGAAACGTGTCAACTAAAAAGAAACGGAGGAAGTATATACTTTTTGTATGGAGCAAGTTCTCTCTCCCTTCTGACTTGTGTGGAAATTTTAGATGATTTCTTGCTTCTTGACAAATATTAAGCTTTTGTATGCCTTTGCATCAGACATAGTAGTCTACACAAATCTCAAATCTCAATTGATTAGAGTAGCTTGGTTTCACAAACTTCAAATATAATGAGTATAGTAGCTTGGTTTCACAAACTTCAAATATAAAGAGTATAGCGTGACATTTCATGTGTATTTAAGATTTCATTTATTTTGAAGGCAATAAAGCTGAATTACACTTATTTTAACGTGTTTTTATTGTATTTAAGTCAGGTTTTGATTATTTTAGTGTGATTTATCGTGTTGTGTCATGTTGTGCTTTCTCAATAAAAGACCATGTCCTAAGTTTAATCCATGACTCAACTTGTGCCGTGTTTATTGATGTATTTTCATATTGTGCAATAATGGATCGGTGATAGGCCGTCGTCGAGCCTACCAAAGATAATAACTCCTATCTTGGTCTCACTAACAATAGTAAGGGTAAGAAAGGGTCGAACCCAAGAGAGGCGTTGAATCAACCACCAAGTACTACCGTTTAAATAAGCTAAATGAATTCTAAATTGGGTTGGTTTTGAGTAACTTCTTCTAACACAATTCAACTAAGCTAAGAGGAGGTTAACAATATTTAGAGGAATCTAGGGCTTGGGTTATACCACTCAATTTCATCACAAATCACAATTAGCATGCAACAATCAAGGTAAATTAATGGGATAAATTAGGGGAAGTCATCTAAAGCACCCAACTACTCTCTCAAGCTAGAGGGATTACTTGAATCAAGAATACAACCTACTCTCGTGGTTACATAGCATAAACAAGTGTTAAAGCATAATCACGATGACATAAACATTCCCTTGACCGGTAATCCCTATTCTCATGGCATTTCGGGTCAATCAAGCATAAGGGAGCTAACTCAAGTTCATCTCTCGATCCTTCGTTGAGAAAGCTTGGATAAATAGTTCTAGCAATGGCCATATACAAGAACTAAGCAATTAAACCACTTAAGCTCAACTAATTAACATCCCACAACAACCAAATTAGCACATGCAACAAGTAATTAGTGACTACATTGAGGGTTTTGCCCAAACCCTAGAATTTAGAATACTCACAATCCATGGGGGTTAAAGCAATTAAAGATTTCAAGCAATTCATGAACAAATTCAAACTAAGGATTAAGCTAATTAACAATCCAAAACATGCAAGAACTAGCAAATAATTAACAACAAAGTAAAGAGAAGTAGAAAATATGAGTAAGAAATGGTTACTATGAAGCTTCAAAGTGAGCAACAATGGTGGATTTGTCTTCTACAATGATTGAATTTGAATGTTTCCAAGCTAATAATTGAGAACTAACTAATGATTTGAGAATTTAATGTTCTAAGACTACAAACTAAGAGGAAAGCTCTAAAAAACTGCATCCCCGTACAAATGAGCTCTAAAGGGGTATTTATATGACCCCCAAATAAAAAGGACGGAGAAAACAAGGAAGGAGTTCGACTGCAGGTCTGCACGGACGTGCCAGATTTGGCACGGACGTGCAAGGCTAAGCACGGCCGTGCCAAGTTTGGCACGGACGTGCAGGAGGGCCAAAATGGAGGCAGAAGCTTCTGCCAAGGTTTGCACGGACGTGCAGCTTTTGGCACAGACGTGTAGACTTGCACGGACGTGCTATCATCTTGCACGTCCGTGCAGGATGCCCTGCCTAGACTGATTAACTTTGGGAAGCTGTAACTTCTACGTTTCTTGTCGGAAATGGATTTGTGACCAGTCGTTGGAAAGCTCTTGAGACGAACTTTAATCTCCAATTTGAATCGCTTCAAAAGGTTGATAAGATCAAAAGTTATGGTTGGTTGAAGTTGACGCTTACGCAAACGACCTTTCAAGGTTCTCCAAAAGCTTTTCATTTCCCTTTAAGGCATTCCTCCTTCTTCCTCCATGGCTCTATCAACCAAGCTTGCCCTTATCCTTGCTCACTCATTCTTGATCATGTCCATAGTGCTAAAAATAGCTACATTACATCAAAAACACAAACAACCGGTGAAGCATGGATGGTACAAATTTTGCATAAAAATAGGATAAAAAATGAACTTTGATGTCGATTAATAACGAAAACAAGGTTCAAAAGTACCCTAAAATCATGCCAAATAACAAGTTATCAAATCCCCCCAAGCTAAGCTTTTTCTCGTCCTCGAGCAAAACAAACATGTCGAATCAAAGGAGGAAAACGACTTGCTAACATCAATCCAAGGAAAGGCAACAAGGAGGAAGCATAAATACACAAATCCGCATGGTGACAGCCATCATCACTTTTAGCACAAGTGAGAAGCAATTTAAACCTCTAAGTCGCCTTAGAGGACGAGTTTTTATCTCGTGAGGGTTTCCATTGAGCTTAACCCACAACTCACACAAACCACAACAAAACTATCAAACTACACAAGTTTCGATGTTATTATCACCCAAGTAAACTCATCGAGATATAAATCGCAAGCAAGACAAATGAGCGAATTTCAAGAATTACCAATCATACAAATGTGCACATGAGTTGGGGGTAAAGAGGAGGACTAAGAAAGATTGCACTAGGATACTTCTTTAGACCTTTTACTAGTTCATTAGAGCACACCTAGATATTCCAAAGTTTCAACAAGCCCTTTTTCGGTTATAAAATCTCAAAATGCTAGTCGCTTACCAAAATGCACACCCAAGGCCTCTTAACTACACTCTAACTCGGGAATTTCATAAGAAACAATGATGTAAACAAGGTGTGGGAGGCATCCACTAGTTGACCTCTAAAGAAGAAAATTTTGATAATTTTCAAGAGTCTCCCTTTTTATTCATTGTTCTATGCTCTTCTTTTCTTCTTCTTTTTTTTTTCAACTTTCAATGCTCTCGCCTCTTTTAACTGTGAGAGGCTCTTTCTTTTATTAAGAACATGTGACTTATTATGCCACTTATTACACATGATACAAATATAACCAATTCCCTAATAGAGTTTCATTTCGGGGAGGAAAGGAGGCACATTAAGGGCACAAGGGACCGCAATTCAATTCAAACATATCCTACTTGAGCTAATTAGACAATATCCTATACTGGGTGTGAAATTGAGCATTCATTGGCTTTCATTTCATATACACTAATGCAATCAAGATTAATAGACCTCTAAATGACCCCATCTCTTGCATACACCCTTCTAAGAGAACTAGTACTCATCGCTCAAGAGTCAAGCAAGAAAAACATATAAGCATTGTCATTTGAGTCTCAACCTTGGGCAAATTTTTTATTTTTTTTTTCATTTTTCAATTTTTTCATCATTTTTTTTTTTTTGAAGAGAAAGCGAAAATATTCACATTACTAACTAGAGAGGGAACACTAATATTCACATGACAAGAGGTTTGGATTTCAAGGAAGCTAAATTGGATTAAGGGCCTTGGATATTAGGGAAATGAAACAACCAAAACAAACGCAACCAAACAAACCAACATGTCAAGAAGGCATGCAAATGACTCCCCCCAAGTTATCATAAACATTGTCCTCAATGTTAAGCAATAAAAGCTCATAAAAAAAAGGAAAAAGAAGACTAACTCAAGGATCGGGTCTTCTTCGACGCTTGAACCTCCTTGGTACCTTTGTTCCTGTTGGTTGTTGTTGGAAGACATGCACTTTGTGCTATTTTTTTTTCTTCTTTTGTTTTTTCTTTTTTTTTTTTTTTTTAAGTTAATCAACTACAAAAATATTCGGGTTGCCTCCTAGAAGCGCTTCTTTAACGTCACTAGCTTGACGACATTGCGCTATCCAAAATTAGGGAGGGTCAAGGCACACCTTTTTGACCCATCTCATTGTTCCCACACACTTTCCATTTTCCTTAGGCAAAATAATCACATTGCTATCATCACTAGAAATGCAACCAAACATCTTGTCTATCAACTTGATCTTGTTTTTCTTTTTCTTCTTGGCCCTCTCTTGCTTTTTCACCTCCGGAGCATGAGTCGATTCATCTTGTTACTCCTCCATGTCTTCTTTCAAAATATTAACCAAAACATCAACCCGATGAACTTGTTTAACCATGGGGTCATTCAACGTTTCCGGAAATGAGAAAGAGATTCTTTCATGCCCAACATGTAAGGTAAGCCGCCCTTGTTTCATGTCAATATTAACACCCGCGGTTTTCAAAAAGGGCCTACCCAATATGAGAGGAATTTTGAAATCCTAATCCATCTCCATGATTACAAAATCACAAGGCACAAGAACCTTCCCCACTTGAATTGGGATGTCCTTCAAGACTCCCAATGGGACTTTAACCGAGCGGTCAGCTAGTTGGATTGACATTTTGGTGGGGCTAATCTCCCCAAGATTTAATCTTTTTGCCATAGAGAGAGGCATAAGGCTAACACTAGCCCCAAGATCACACAAAGCATTTGTTGATTCAAGATCTCCAACCTTAACCGGTATAGCAAAACTACCGGGGTCACCAAACTTCTCGGGAAGCTCATTTTGAGGAATAGCACTTATCTCCGTTGGAAGAGAGATAGAATCACTCTCCTCAAGCCTACTCTTGTTAGAAAGAATATTTTTCAAAAACTTTGCATATGTAGGCATTTGAGACAAAGCATGGAGAAGTGGAATGTTTGATTGAAGTCCTTCCATTTCATCAAGGAACTTAGAAAGTTTCACATTTAGCTTCTTCTCTATCATTCTATGAGGGAATGGAATATGAGGCTCATATGCTCTCAATGGAGCTTGACTCTTCACTTCTCCCTCATCTCTCTTTGAGGCACCCTCATCACTCATTTTTGACCTTCCTCTCGCCTCCTGACTCACTTCATTTTCAAACTCACTTTCATCTACCCAACTATCTCCCTCATCTCCCTTTTTGGCAACATTTTCTCTCATAATTGGAGTTTCATACCCCCCCTTCCATAATCAAGGTGATTGATTTCGCTTGCTCTTTTGGATTCATTACCGTTGTGCTTGGAAATTGACCACCGGGGTTAGAGGTGCACCCAACTTGTTGTGCAATTTGAGATAATTGACTTTCAATCATCTTGTTGTGTGCTTGGAGTTGTTGAATTGAGCTACTAACTTCCCCATTGATCTTGATTTGTTGGGTCATGAAGGTTTCCAAAACGGATTCAATGTTGGATTTTGGAGGAGGAGGGGCTTGATTGTATTGGGGTCTTTGTTGGACATTGTCTCTTTGATTGGGGTGGCGATAGGGAGCTTGTTGTTGTGGAGGGGGTTGATTGTAAGGAGGAGCTTGGTTGTAATTGTTTTTAGGAGGGGGAGCTTGATTGGGTTGTTTCCACCCAAAATTTGGATGTTGTTTCCAACCTTGGTTAAAAGTTTGGGAGTAAGGATCATTCCTACCAAGTGAAGCCACATGCTCCATTGTAGTGTTGCAATAGGATGCCAAGTGGTCATTTCCTCCACAAGTCTCACAAGACATGACTTGTGGGGAGGAGCTACCGGGCACATTGTTCACTTGATCTAGCTTTCGAGCTAAAATATCAACCTTTGAAGCAATAAGATCTATTGCTTCAAGATCATGCTTACCGCCATTCTTGGGTTGACCTTGCCTTTTATCACCTCCATAAGCATAATGCTTAGCCACTTCCTCAATCATTTTGTAGGCCTCGTCAACCGATAGCTTTTTAAGGCTACCTCCGTCTCCCGAATCAAGGTTGGCCCTTGAGGTAGGAGTAAGACCATCATAGAAGCTTTGCACTATGATCCATGAGGTGAAACCGTGGTGAGGGCATGCTTTAGTATAATCTTTGAACCGCTCCCATGCTTCACTCAAAGTTTCATCAACCTCTTGGTTGAAGTTTGTGATCTTCCGTCTTAATTCAGCGGTTTTCTCGGGAGGGCAATACTTCCCAAGAAAAGCTCTAGTCACCTCATCCCAAGTACTCAACGATCCCTCTTCAACCGTTCTCAACCAATGCTTTGCTTTGTCTCGAAGGGAGAATTGAAACATGTGCATCCGAATAAACTCTTCCGAAATGTTGTTTTTCTTGATAGTTGTACACAATTCAAGAAAGTTGTCCAAATGAGCAAAAGGACACTCATAAGGACTACCCCCAAATTGATCGCTTTGAATCATGCGGATGAGTTGAGGTGAAAGCTCAAAGTTGTTTGCATTCGTGGTGGGAAGACGTATGCCACTCCGAAGTTGGAATGCGTTGGGGTGGTCATAGTCTCTTAACAATGGTTGAGGAGGATTCTCTCCCATGTTATCTTCTTCGTTAGCTCCAAAAACCTCTTCCGGATCGGAATCCGAATATACAATGGAAAACTCGGGTGTGCCTTGCAAGAGTCTCCTCACGTTTCTCAAAGTCCTATTTAGCTCTGGATCAAAGGGAATAAGCGGTGATTGCTTACTCTTTCGTGTCATGCAAAGTCAAACAAAGCTAAGAAAAACGTTAGCAATGACTATCGCAAGTTAAACACACATAAACAAAAATTAAGGTAAGAAAACTACTATACATATACACACATCTAGTCTCATTCAACAATAATACATTCAATGTGACTTTGCCTCCCCGGCAACGGCGCCAAAATTTGATAGGCCGTCGTCGAGCCTACCAAAGATAATAACACCTATCTTGGTCTCACTAACAATAGTAAGGGTAAGAAAGGGTCGAACCTAAGAGAGGCGTTGAATCAACCACTAAGTACTACCGTTTAAATAAGCTAAATGAATTCTAAATTGGGTTGGTTTTGAGTAACTTCTTCTAACACAATTCAACTAAGCTAAGAGGAGGTTAACAATATTTAGAGGAATCTAGGGCTTGGAATATGAAGAATTGAAGGAAGGAGTCTTGAAAATTTGGATACTCCTTGCAATATCAATGAGAATTTCTTACTCTCTCTCCCTTACAAATGAAGCTAAAGGGATATTATATAACCCCAAGTAAAAGGACGGAGAAACCAAGAATCGGCCCGTCTACAGGTCGGCACGGACGTGCTAAAGGTTGCACGGACGTGCAGACCTGTTAAAATGAGAACAATAGCTACTGCCTGACCTTTGCACGGACGTGCATCAATTGGCACGGACGTGCATGAATTGGCACGGACGTGCATCAATTGGCACGGACGTGCAGCTTTTTTTGGCGAAACAGCTTCATTTCGGAAGGTCATAACTTCTTCATTACTCATTGGAATAAGGCATGTAAGCAGTCGTTGGATAGCTCTTGAGATGAACTTTAATCTCCAATTTGAATCGCTTCAAAAGGTTGATAAGATCAAAAGTTATGGTTGGTTGAAGTTGACGCTTACGCAAACGACCTTTCAAGGTTCTCCAAAAGCTTTTCATTTCCCTTTAAGGCATTCCTCCTTCTTCCTCCATGGCTCTATCAACCAAGCTTGCCCTTATCCTTGCTCACTCATGCTTGATCATGTCCATAGTGCTAAAAATAGCTACATTACATCAAAAACACAAACAACCGGTGAAGCATGGATGGTACAAAATTTGCATAAAAATAGGATAAAAAATGAACTTTGATGTCGATTAATAACGAAAACAAGGTTCAAAAGTACCCTAAAATCATGCCAAATAACAAGTTATCAATCGGAGCCCTATATAGTGTTATCTAACAAAGTACCATCTCACCTCTCTAAATTTTCCAAAAGACCTCGTTTCTTGGTACATAAGAGCGTAAAAGAATAGTGGTGTAGGTTATCTTAGGTAAGATGTAGGCTAGATATATCTATATGTTATTTATGAGTGCAGCGATTGTGTTTGTTTTTGTCAAATTGCCCTCCCTATAAGACGGAGTTGTGTTTACTAAGGTTGTTAGAGTTTTGTATACTACAATTATGTGAGAATTTATAAGTCGAATTCACGTTGATTTTTTTATCAAATTCAACTACACTAATACACATTCACATGCAAATATGCAATATGTTCACAAACCCTCCATTATAATTAATTTTTGAAACAACAATTTGGAAGTGGGATTTGAAAAAAAGTTGACTTGAATTTATTTCATATGTATGTTGGATCCAAATTTCTTTTGTAATAAATAATAGGTATGCCTTTTCCTTCATATATTCAAATATTCAATGAATTAAATTTGAGTATGCAAGGAGTGATGTGAAAAGAGACTCGATCTATCTAGAGTCTTAAGGGCCACTTTAATCTGCCATCTTTTCAAAAATTCAAACTGCCGTGTTACCATTTTAAACCCTCCTTAGCCCTTACCATGAATACATGATGAAGAGTATGTGAGAATACATAAGAGGATGTAAAATTACACCAAGAGTCTAACATGTAGAAATAAATCATAATACAATAATTTACCAACTAAAGTACTCGGTAATTAACATTTACTAGTAATAATATATTATTATTAGAAATTTAAGTTGATTTTTACTTATAAGTCAGTTTCCGCTTTGCCTAGCTAGCTAATAACATTAGACAAAAAAGAGGTTGACACAGTAGTTTTTTCTCTCAAAATTGTATGGTTTTTCTCTCAAAATCATATTCTAGGATTCTTTTAATATGCTAGCTAGCTTCAAACAACCTCTCCATAATTGAATTCTAGCATAGTTTTTCTGTCAACTAGAACATGTTTTACTCACAAAATAATTAATTCCTTCTCTAAAAATCAAACGAAAATAAAGGAGGCAATTTTATTTTTTTTTTCAATCACCTCCCCACTTATTAGACTCAGTCAAATCCACATTTTTAATGCATTCTCACCTTTAATTTTTTAGTTTTAAATTTGAAGCTATAGTAGTTTAGAAGAGCATAATGGAACACAATACAATAATATGAAATTGTCGTCAAAGAACGAAAGGGTTACCTTAGATATAAGTGGGTCATTCACCTTTATTTTAGTTATTTATCAAGTTGGAATTAAGCTATTTACTTAGTACAATTGTTTACTAAACAATGTGTCTCCTTATTTACTTTGAATATCATGTCGTAATGTTTACACGTGCTGGATAATTAAGAATATTTGACATCTCTTTAATTGCTTTTACTGTTTTCTAAAGTGATTTGTACCTTATCGTTTTGAAATGTTGTTACTTTCTAGAAGATCCATATTAATGTCTCAAATGTTATGATTCTTGCTCTTCTATATTAATTAATATACTGTAGGAAAAATAAAAACAAAACTATTCAAAATCATAAGTTGATAAATTCACGTACTTGAAATGATTAAAAAAAACAAAAAAGAAAGAAAAAGTCTTGCAAATAAACAATATCCAGTGATTGAGAAATAAGAAAATAATAGAAGTATAGAACAAATATAGCATTACTTCGTACAAAGTTACAAACTTAAAGTTAATTAACATTTAGTTGATCAAAATTAGACATACTTGAGTTGAGTAGAGTAAGAAAGCATAGTTGCACTAATAGATTAAGATGATAAGAATTCTAATTAATTTCATATATGTCTCTAGCTTGAACCAAATGAATTAACCCTACTACTCGTATTAGCCGCATTTGCGTTCATAGATAGCGATGGATGATTTGTCATAATTTTACTGCAATTAGCTCTTATTTTCTTAATTACGAGGAACTATATATAATAAACGACGCACATCAAATCAAACTATATAAAAGATTAGATCATGTGATAGGGTGATTAAGGGCTTGTTCACATTTATTGAGCTAAACTGAACCGAATTGATTGGAGCTGAACTGAGGTGAAATGAATATTTTATGAGAGATGGAAATTAGGAGCTGAACTGAACTGAACTGATTGAAGCTGAACTGAACTAAACTAAACTAATTGGAGCTGAACTGAATTGAAATTAAGTAAATGTGAACAGGCCCTAAGTCTGTTGCATACAACAAATCTATTATATTATATTCAAACTTTTGCCTTAAATCACACGAATGAAGTATTTATTGGCTAGCTTGAAAATATGTACTGCATGCTAATGCTAGTGGCTAATTATGTAGTACTACTATGATTACTATCCATGTATTAAGGTATTACAGTATTAACAAATAATCATATATAACCCCTAAAGTCCCTAATAATTTTATATAATTTAATCTCAAACAAAATACATTGTCTAGTGTACGTATAATATGTTGTTAACAAGATATGATGAACGTGAATAACGTTCGTCGGACCACTCAATCTCAGCAAAGAAACGACGACTCGGGTTTTTGCAACCAACCATTTTTGAGCTTCATTACAAAGGAAAAACCTAAGTCGTCGTTTCTTTGCTAATTAAGAATGGAGGAACTCAAACGTGATCTGAAGATTATAAAGGATATGTGAAGAGGTCTTCTTTAGGTTTTCATGCATGTAGGATGGAATTGACAGTATAACTAAAAATAATTTGTAATGTTTAGAAAAACTTATAAACTATATGTTAGAGAATATCCATAGAATATTCTCATTTTAGATTTAGGATATATTTTGTATAAGATTATCTTTGATAGATGTACATATCTTATGTTACCTAATATGATTAGGTTCTCATTGTAACTCTATAAATATTGATTAATGGAAATCACTATAATCAAGGAGTTTATATTATCTGATCAAGGAGTTTATATTATCTGTATCACAGCTAAGGTGAGATCTTGGGATCATATACAAAAATTCTCACCCTGCCGGTGGGTTAGAAAATTAAACCCACTGGCGGGATATACACAAATTTTTTATGCTTCCGCAAACACACACATATAGATTTTTTTTTCATATATTTTGTTTTGATGGTGGTATACCAGAATAAGGTCAACTTTTGCACATCTCTTTTGCTATCAAGTTGGCTCCTCTTATTGTTGCAGCACTTGGAATCTTTAATTTGTGGAGTATTGATTCTTGCTACCTAGGTTTCTCTTTTGAGAATTGATTAATTTCAAGCGGTGGAATTTAATCTTTTTCTTGCGCAATTTTACTTGTTTTTCTTCAACTGTGATTTCACGTAGTAGTGTAGTGTCTTCTTCCCGATGATGGTTTGATCCCTTAGCTTCTTCTTCTCTGGATCTGCAACTTAGCCCAAGTCCGTGTGCGGCTCTTCTCCTTCTCCTTCTCCTCCGGCCTAGCAGTGCTTATCTCTACTCTATGTAGTTCGTGGTTGTTGCTTCTCATCTCATCACTGGCACATGTCTACTACTTCCCTTTTGATCATGGGTTACCATATACCATCCTTACCGCTCGATGCGTGATTCAAATCCAGTCTGATCATCCAATTTTCTCCCGCTCCGACTGCGGGGGTATGATAGAGTATATCCATAAAATATTCTCATCTTAAGTTTAG